CTGGCTGACTTAAGGTGAACGTAGTTCGGCAAGACACCGGTGAAAATACAGAAATTATGTTTCACTGCAGCGAAAAAATAAATTTTGACATTTATTTCATCAATATTTCTCAATATTTTATCATAAGTCCAAAAAAATATAAATCCGTATTATACAACTAAATGTTAAATACTCTATAATCTATAGACATTGTACATTTGTTTCGATATTCCGACAGTGATACCACCATGTACTAGAAATAGATCATTGTAAAGCATATAGCAAACGAACATACGATTTCCGACCTTTTTATTTATATTGTACAAATATACATAGCTATAAGTGTTTGAATATGTGCATTTAGCCTTTTGTATGTTAAATATTCTATGTTTCATGTAGCGTCTGTAGAACGTTGTGTTCTATCCCTTTAATAAAGTTACAGTACAGAAAATGATTTTAATTTGTCTTGAACTCAGTACATCATTATACATAGCATTACATTATAAAAACAAGAGGACCATGGTGGCCCTTAAATCGCTCATCTGTATATAGGCCCCCAGAGCGGGTCCAGTTTAAACCCCAGGGCTTTTATTTGAACAAACTTGGTAGACACCAATTAGAAGATGTTTCATGCTAAACGTCTAAGGTCAATCTGGTTGAGTTTAAAAAAAGAAGATTTTTTTTAAGTTTTAACTATACACATATAGTTAAAAGCAATGACGAACATAGGGCGGGGTCAGTTTTGACCCCAGAGCTTTAATTTGAACAAACTTTGAAGACACTCACTAGAAGATGTTTCATGCTTAATATCTAAACTCTAGCTATTTGTTTTTATTTTCAATTTTTAAGTTTTTGCTATTCACATATAAGGAAAATCAATGTCCCCTGGGGCAGGGCCAATTTGGCTTTTATTTGAACAAACTTTGAAGACAGTTACTGGAAGATGTTTCATGTTCAATATCTTAACTCTAGCTATTTGGGTTTTTTTCAAAGATTTTTTAAAGTTTTTGCTATACACATAAATAAAATCAATGACCCCCGGAGCGGGGCCAATTTTGACCCAAGGGCTTTTATTTGAACAAACTTTGTAGACACTCACTAGAAGATGTTTCATGCTTAGTATCAAAACTCTAGCTATTTGGGTTTTTTTCAAAGAAGATTTTTTCTTTAAAGTTTTTGCTTTACACATATAAAGAAATTCAATGACCCCTTCGGGCGGGCCAATTTTGACCCCAGGGCTTTTATTTGAAAAAAATTGATAGACACTCATTAGAAGATGTTTCATGCTAAATATCTTGGCTCTAGCTCTTTGGGTTCTTTGAAAGAAGATTTTATAAGTTTTTACTATATGTATATAGGGAAAATCAATGTCAAACACGGTGTTGCAATTCATAAATTTATTTTAAACATTGGCATACTGAGACTTAAGTTGTTGCATATTAATATTCTAATTTTGATCTAGATATTTCACGAAATAAAGCAAAATAAGAGTTGCGCCATATATAATTTAAAGCATGTTTTAATTATTTTGTGCTGATTTATTGCAGTTTTATTGTTTTTAAAAATACATTAACTTTATATAATAGATATATGTAACCTTAATTCTATAAATACGGCGTATTGTACATTCTAACACGACCAACACTTCAACTTATTGAATATAAGGACTAAGGCCCCTACGGTTACACGTTTAAACGGATTCGTTTCGATTTTCAGTCGTAAACGTTCACGAATAAGTTTACCGTTCAATCGAAATATGACCATTATTGTCTTACAAAATGTCTTAATCATTGCCTGTTATCATGAATTCTATCAATTGTAAATGGTTTAATCCGAATTAAATTACGAATAATAAGTATTTACAACCATCCACACAGCATTACCGTGCAATAATCGCTCGTGACATAATACAATTTTGGTATGGTTGATTTTCCTTTGATCTTTCAAGAGCTAAATGATGATACAATGCTGAAAATGTGTGCCGACTCAATCCTGATGAGTTCTGAACATAATTATTTGTACTTCCGTTAAAAATAGATAGTAAGTCATCATTTGGCGACTTAAATACACGGTGAAACATAGCACATAATTATAAGTACCACCGTTTCGGTTCTTAGCAATCGTGTAAACGTTTACAAATCAAAGCACAGAAGGCGCTGAATTTGTTTGGGCCTCATGTCAGAAAGGTAAAGGTTGTGAGATTATAAACCAATTTGTTTTGTACAGTGCCACCAGTGCTTTCCATTGTTTTAACTGTAGTAAATTGGCTATAAGATTAATTACAACACTGATATTCAATTCAATGTTTATTTGACATAAACAATTAAAAAGAATGAGTTGCCTTAACTGGGATTTGAACTACAGACCTCTTAATTCCTAAGCGAGCGTGCAAGCCCCTCGGCCACGGTGAAGTTATGTGAATGACCTGAAGAAAACCATATTATTCTATATTAGGGCTTGTAACTCTTATTATTTCGACGCTAAACCGGTTGTTTAACACAGATGTAAATAATCATGGAGCTTACTATAGGCATGTTTATCTATAAAGAACAAAACAATATAAGAAATCTTCGACCTTTCGGGAACTATTTTGCTTGAAAATTAATGCGCCTGTCATTTAACAATCTTCACGCAGTGATCTCCCCTGAATTTTTCGGCGTTAGTGTACATATAAAAGGAAGTAACCGCTTCAAAAAAGTAACCTACTTTCGGCATTTGCAATTAACAGCATCAGAGTCTGAAATTTCTCTACCATTAATTGTTTGGTCTGATGACCCAAACAAATAAAAATTGTAAACGTGGGAGCCTTAATTAAGGACTGAAAGTGTGTGCTAAATTATGACGAAACCACTAAAATGCAACGCGCTGAAAATAGATACGGAAACAAATCAGTCGCAATAGCCTTAATGTCTTGTAAGAATAAAAATAATATATATCCAAATCGGTGATTTTATCGCTTGATGAAATAATGCGACGCGCTGAAAAAAGTATGGAAACAAATCAGTGGCAATTTAGCTTAATATCAGTAACGGCAGTGTAACACCGCACTTTGGGGTCCGTTAAACTTCGCACCGCACTTTGGGGTCCAACGCACTTTGGGGTCAAAATCGAGAAATTGACCCCAAAGTGCGTTAATATGCTACAGATCAACGCACTTTGGGTTCCAGAGGTCTAAAGATGTCGTCTGAGTTCTGCTTAAATACTGAGTAATGACTTATTTTCGATCTGCAACATTGAAATATTAGAGGTGGAGTTCAAGTGAAGATGACGGTAAATACTTTGATGATGTTTGAGTGATAAAAGTTTCATTAATTTTACCACTTGAAATATCTAAAAATTGTGTTCATATAACAAAATTACGGTGGCATAAAAGTGACATTTGCATTTTTTTAGTTTTGCATACATATTTTTTTAGTTTTGCATACATACTTTTTTTAATATTGCATACATATTTTATTTTAGTTTTTCGTACATATTTTATTTTTGTTTTTCGTACATATTTTAGCCAATCAAAACAGCCTTCACATCTCATAACAGCCAATAGTTGAGTATAAAACTAGCACAGTGGTTTGGTCACATTTCGGCCAATTTTTGGAATCGGACCAGTCGTTTTCGGCCGGGCAAGTCTGGTTTCAGCAGACCCTTTTCGGCCCATTTTTTAAATTATATGTATTTTATATAATTATTGTTTTTTATTATTATATACTTTTATATTAGAGTCTATTTGGAAAGGATTGTTGATTGGTGATCAGTTATTATCATGAATATGCACCACTCAACACCCCGCCCCCGCCCCCCTGAGGATAGCGGTGGGGGGCATTTACTTTAAACCAAGCCGACCACTGGTAAAATTAATCTTCGCCCTGCAGGTCAAAGGATTAAGACTTGGGTTTCATGTCCGCTCCTTATCTCCATAAAGGATTTTCAGGCACCTTGTGTAAAATGTGAACCACAACGAGACAATATGCTTAACCTTTCTTTGGGTTACCGCGGATTATTTATATACTAGAGGTGTTGTTATTTTTTTGATACCTCCAAAATGAAAATGTTGGTACTTGCAAATGGAATTTGCAAATGGGGTACTGTAATTTACAGGCGGCGAAGTGTTAAAAAAATGTTTTTTTCAAATGGCATAATTATCCAAACCTCTACTTTGCAAATGCCGTCATGTAAAAATATGTACAAAAAAATAAGATATGTACAAAAAACTAAAGTAACATAATTATGTATGCAAAACTAAAAGAGAATATGTATGCAAAATTAAAAAAAGTATGTATTCTAAACTAAAAAAAAATGTACAACAAACAAAAACAAAAACTAAAATATATGTACGAAAAACAAAAAAAAGGTATAAAAAATAAAATGCAAATGTCACTTTTATGCCACCGTTCAAAATACTCTAGTACAGAAATTGTGTATTCCTAAATTTAAAAGATGCTGCGAAAAATGTCCTGTTCTGTCAGTCATTTATACTTGCATTTAGTTGATAACTTTTGGTGCAATATTGAGCCCCATTTTAAATATGTTGGAAATGAAATAAAATGCAGTTATTTTTTTTCTTCCGAAGAACTATTAATAAACTGAAATATAATGAAAAAATAAAATACATTTGTATAGTAAAATGGTAATTCATTAAACTTTCTTTCTTTCTTTCAATTTTCTTTTCTTTCTTTCTTTCTTTTCTTTAATTCTTTCTTTCTTTTCTTTTCTCTTTCTTTATTTCTTTCTTTTTTCTTCTTTCTTTCTTTCTTCTTTCTTTCTTTCTTTCTTGCTTTTCTCTTTCTTTATTTCTTTTTTTCTACTTTCTTTCTTTCTTTCTTTCTTTCTATTGTTCTTCCTTATACATTCATTCATTCATTCATTCATTCTTGTTTCTATATTATTATTCAGTTATTCATATTTTATGTTTCATTCATTCATTCATTTATTTTTTAAGGAATGTTATTTGCAGTTAATGTATACGGAACATTAAATATTGCTAAAGTTTATCTTTGCAAACAAAGGAACAAACAAAGAAAAGATACTTGTGAACTATAACAGAAAGTTATTTTAATGAAAAAAAACAACAAAAAAAACATGAAAACAAAATGTACATACAATGTATGAATAGCAACCATTATAAGATAATATAGTCCATTACAAACAAGAACTGTCGGCACGACTATTCGAAAAGTTGTCACAAGGGTGTTTTATTGAGTATAATAATGCTTACCTATATGAATACATAAAATTGTCCGAAAAGGTACAAACCCTTCAGTAGTAAAAACAAGCAAAAATTTACCTAGAATTTTTAAGTCGAAAAAGGGGCATAATTATGCAATAAAGCAAATCAGAGTTATGGGACTTGTGCCAATCATCTAAGATAATCACAGAGAACAAGTGTGTGAAATTTCAATCCATTCCCTTCAGTAGTTATGGAGATATCAGCTTACTAGCAAAAACTTAACCAAGAATTTCTAAGTCAAACAAGAGGGCCATGATGGCCCTAGATCGCTCACCTGACTTATCAAACTCATCCAAACAATTACCAAGACAAGCCTTTTGACCAAATCTCATGACAGGTGAGTCAAAAATGTGACCACTACAGTGTTAACAAGGATTATCCATATTTGAGCAGTGCGACCTAGTTTTTTTACCCAGGTGACACATATTCAAACTTGACCTAGAAATCATCAAAACAAACTTTCAGACCAATTTCCAGGATACTTGGATCAAAACAGAAGCAACTAGAGTGTTAACAAGATTTTTCTATTTTTAGCTCCGGTGACCTAGTTTCACATGCGATTTCGAACTCATCCAAGGAATTACATAGACAAGCATCCTGACCAAGTTTGATGATAATTGAGTAGAAAATGTGACCACTAGAATGTTAACAAGGTTTTTCCATATTTGGGCGGTGTGACCTAGTTTTTCATCCAAGATGACCCATGTTCGATCTTGACTTAGAAATCATCAAAACAAACTTTCAGACCAATTAACAGAATATTTGGATCACAACAGTAGCCACTAGAGTGTTAACAAGATTTTTCTATTTTTAGCTCCTGTGACCTAGTTCTTCATCCGAGATGTCCCATGTTCGATTTGTTCCCAGCAATGACCTAGACAAGTTTCCTGACCAAGTTTGATGACAATTGAGTCAAAATTGTGACCACTAGAGTGTTAACAAGGTTTTTCTATTTTTAGCTCCTGTGACCTAGTTATCGATATGACCCATGTTCGAACTCATCCGAGCTATCACCCAGACAAGCATCTTGATCAAGTTTGATGATGATTGATGCAAAAATGTGACCGCTAGAGTGTTAACAAGGTTTTTCTATTTTTAGTTCTGGTGACCTACTTTTTCATTCGAGATGACCCATGTTCGAACTCATCTGAGCTATCAACTTGATAAGCATCCTGACCAAGTTTGATGATGAGTGATGCAAAAATGTGACCGCTAGAGTGTTAACAAGGTTTTTCTATTTTTAGCTCCAGTGACCTACTTTTTCATCCGAGATGACCCATGTTCAAACTCATCCGAGCTATCAACTAGACAAACATATTGACCAAGTTTGATGATGATTGATGCAAAAATGTCACCGCTAGAGTGTTAACAAGGTTTTTCTATTTTTAGCTCTGGTGACCTACTTTTTCTAGATCTAACTTTTTCATCCGAGATGACCCATGTTCAAACTCGTCCGAGCTATCAACTAGATAAGCATCCTGACCAAGTTTGATGATGATTGATGCAAAAATGTGACGTCTAGAGTGTTAACAAGGTTTTTCTATTTTTAGCTCTTGTGACCTAGTTTCTCATCCGAGATGACCCATGTTCGAACTCATCCGAGCTAACATCTAGATAAGCATCCTGACCAAGTTTGATGATGATTGAGGCAAAAATGCGACCGCTAGAGTGTTAACAACTAAATGTGAACAGACGACGGACGGACGACAGACAATTATCGATCCTAAAAGCTCACCCTGAGCATGCTCAGGTGAGCTAAAAAGGGGCATAATTATGTAAAAAAGCAAATCAGAGTTATCGGACTTGTGCCAATCATCTAAGATAATCACAGAGAACAAGTGTGTGAAGTTTCAAACCATTCCTATCAGTAGTTATGGAGATACCAGCTTACACGCAAAAACTTAACCAAGAATTTCTAAGTCGAAAAGGGGGCAAAATTATGTAAAAAAACAAATCAGAGTGATAGGACTTGTGCCAATCATCTTAGATAATCACAGAAAACAAATGTGTGAAGTTTCAATCCATTCCCTTCAGTAGTTATGGAGATACCAGCTTACACGCAAAAACTTTACCAAGAATTTGTAAGTCGAAAAAGGGGCATAATTATGTAAAAAAGCAAATCAGAGTTATCGGACTTGTGCCAATCATCTAAGATAATCACAGAGAACAAGCGTGTGAAGTTTCAATCCATTCCCTTCAGTAGTTATGGAGATACCAGCTTACCCGCAAAAACTTAACCAAACATTTCTAAGTCGAAAATGGGGCATAATTATGTAAAAAAGCAAATCAGAGTTATGGGACTTGTGTCAATCATGTTAGATAATCACAGAGAACAAGTGTGTGAAGTTTCAATCCATTCCCGTCAGTAGCTATGGAGATACCAGCTTACATGCAAAACTTGACCACAGGGACGCCTGCACCGACGCAGACAAATGGGTGACTGCATTAGCTCGATTATTAAAAAAGAAATAAAAACATGTATATGCTAACAATATATGCTGGAAACCAGACTTAATATAATATTGGAATCAATAGATGCTGGGAACCAAACTAGATATGATATTGGAATCAATAGATGTTGGGAACCAGGCCCCGTGTTCACAAAGAAAAGATCAGGATCAGGATCAAGTGATCCTGATTTTATTTTCTTTGTTTTATATAACTAATATTGATCGCATTTTGCTAAAATTGAATGGTACATAAAGATAATGTAAAATTTTGCTGATTTGCAAAGAAACAACCCTGTTTTGAGATAAAATAGACAAATATCGAAACAAATTAAATAAGAATTTGTAACAGAGTTACCAACGTCCCCCGCCTCGGGGAAGTTTTATATGAAGCATAAAATTGTGCTATTTCAAAAGATTAGGGTATGGAACTCAGGACTTTCAGCCCAAAATTATGATCAATGCTAGATCTGCAAATGCAACAGAAATAAAATGAAACACGGAATTTAAAAATCTATCATGTTAAGCTTTGTCCCTCTAAGTGTGACTTTGACCTTGGAGGTAGTGGTGCAGGTGTTGTGCATAACATATCATCTTATTATTGTAACTATTTGTGCAAAGTATTTTAAAAATCCCTTGATCTATAAAGAAGTTATGGACGGGACACAAAATATACCAAATAACAGACTCTGTTAATCTTTGGCCTCTATGTGTCTGATGGTCAAATTTACATAAATTTGTTATCGCGAATTCGACTTCATCGTTATTGCCAGTGAATAATTATGTAAAAAAGCAAATCAGAGTGATAGGACTTATGCCAATCATCTTAGATAATCACAGAGAACAAATGTGTGAAGTTTCAATCCATTCCCTTCAGTAGTTAGTGAGTTATCATATATGTCTGATAATATAACATCATTCAATGCCACAATTTCTTCAAACACCGAATCTATGTTCCTTCCCGCGAGTAAAAATTGACATTTGTATTTTGAGTACTTTTGTCGACTGATAGTTGATCTAATATTTCACATAATTATTTAAGTGGTCGCATAAGTATGAATGATGACTTACGAATAATGTACATTTCTCTTTCTGTGGCTTGTAATATGTGTTTGAAGGTCATTTTATATATAAATATCTCAAATTAGCATCCATATTTCTTCTCTATAGTGTGTATTAACATAATGAGTAATTAAACTACATTGTACTTCTTCATAAAATAAATTTTCATTCAATTCATATTTATGTTTTGATCTGTCAGATCAATATAAATCTGTTATATCAATTATTTTGTTTGTTCAAAGAACCTCGATGAGAAACGCTGAATTGCACAAACCACAATAAGGTTTTCTTTTACCAGCATTTTGCCATACATGTATGTGTGATGAAACTACCTCAAGTACAAAACGCTATATCACACATTTCACAATTGTGTTACTCTCGCCAGCATGTTTTGCCATATACATGTATGTGAGAAAAGATAACAGTAATTAGAAAATAAATAATCACAAATGTCCTTTATCTATTTTTTCCTTGTATTTAGTATGTATTTTTAAATGTGTCTTCAGTGTTACTCGTTGAGAAAATGCTTTATCACACACTTTACATTTATGATTCTTCTCACCAGTGTGTATTGTCATATGCTGGTTCAAACTACTTCGTTGAGAAAATGTTTTGTCACACACTTCACATCTATGATTCTTCTCACCAGTGTGTATTGTCATATGCCGGTTCAAACTACTTCGTTGAGAAAATGCTTTATCACACACTTCACATATATGATTCTTCTCACCAGTGTGTATTGTCATATGCTGATTTAAATTCATATGCCTGATCAAATGACTTTGTAGACGAAATGCTTGATCACACATTTTACATTTATGATTTTTCTCATCAGTGTGTATTGTCATATGTTTGATCAAAATACTTCGTAAAGAAAATGCCGTATTACACACTTCACATACATGATTCTTCTCACCAGTGTGTATTGTCATATGACTGCTCAAAGTACTTCGTTGAGAGAATGCTTTATCACACACTTTACATTGATGATTCTTCTCGCCAGTGTGTATTTTCATATGCTTGGTCAAATTGCCTCGTTGAGAAAATGCTTTATTACACATTTTACATATATGATTCTTCTCGCCAGTGTGTATTGTCATATGCTGATTTAAATTCATATGCCTGATCAATTGACTCCGCAGAAAAAATGCTTTATCACACATTTTACATACATGATTTTTCTCACCAATGTGTTTTGTCATATGTGTGATCAAACTACTTCGTAAAGAAAATGCTTTATCACACATTTTACATATATGATTCTTCTCACCAGTGTGTATTGTCATATGACTGTTCAAAGTACTTCGTACAGAAAATGCTTTATCACACAGTGTACATTGATGATTCTTCTCGCCAGTGTGTATTTTCATATGCCTGTTCAAATAACTATGTTGAGAAAATGCTTTATCACATATTGTACAAATATGATTTTTCTCGTCAGAGTGTATTTTCATATGTTTGTTCAAATTACTTTGTTTAGAAAATGCTTTATCACACACTTCACATTTATGATTCTTCTCGCCAATGTGTATTGTCATATGTGTGTTCAAAGCACTTCGTTGAGTAAATGCTTTATCACATATTTTACATATATGATTTTTCTCGCCAGAGTGTATTATCATATGACTGTCCAAATAACTTCGTAGAGAAAATGCTTTATCACACACTTCACATTTATGATTCTTCTCGCCAATATGTATTTTCATATGCGTGTTCAAAGTACTTTGTTGAGAAAATGCTTTATAACACACTTTACATTGATGATTCTTCTCGCCAGTGTGTATTGTCAAGTGCTGGTTCAAATATCTTTGTTGAGAAAATGCTTTATCACACATTAGACAAATATGATTTTTTTCACCAGTGTGTATTGTCATATGCCTGACCAAACGACTTCGTACAGAAAATGCTTTATAACACACTTTGCATTCATGGTTCTTCTCGCCAGTGTGTATTGTCATATGCACTTTCAAATTACATTGTTGAGAAAACACTTTATCACATACTAAACATTTATGTTTCTTCTCTCCAGTGTGCATTGTCAAGTGTTTGTTCAATTAACTTCGTAGAGAAAATGCTTCATCAAACATTCCACATATATGATTTTTCTCGCCAGTGTGTTTTGCCATATGTGTGTTCAGAGAACTTCGTTGAATAAATGTTTTTTTCAAAACATCACATCTATGTGTTATTTTGCATCAGCTGAGCGTCTTATTTCTGTTCAACCACAACTTTTTGACAGTTTCCCACAATGTGTTTATATTACTTTCCAGCTTGTCTCAGCTTGTACTTCCTTGATAGAGAAAAGAGCCTGAATTAAAGTAATAATAGACTACATATATTTCCTTCGAATATTTCATCTATTTAAATAAGTTTTTTTTTACATTAAACTTTTGCAGACACTCAGTATCATAAAATTTTCTCAAAAATCTATATTTACAAGCGGCTGTAACATTATAGAAAGGTTTAACACATACCCTTAGTGCTTTTGAGAAAGCATAAAACATGCTATTATACAGCTGCCCATATAATTTGATGTGGCTTCATAAATCTTTAACGTTAGTCTCGTTTGTGGTCATTGATGTTCAAGTGAATCAATCCGAATATCATATCTTCCATTATCCGACCAATGTAAGAGAAAATCTAAAATAAAAATTTTAACAAATATTACATTAAAGTTTACAATTTTGACAGTTAATTGACTCATTTAAAAGAGTATTATAACGTTAAGCTGAAATGACTTAATGACGTGGTTGATATACCCATAAAATGTATTTCACGTTTTGGCATGTAAATACGAAAGCAATGTCAAGACTGTTGAAATGATAATGATGTGTACAAAATATTAGTTTGTTCTTTTATCCAGTTTCTTTAAAAATCAATCTTCTATTATTAAAATGAAAATGTAAATTTAGGAAGTCTAATTATTGCCTCCGGTTCAATTAAGTCAAGTGATAATGAGAACAATTACAGTATTTTATTGACACCAGGAAGCATACTGTAAACAAGAAAAATATTACATACATTCGTATGTAATATAGGTACGATTGCATACTACGTTTTTGTGAAGAATTTATGTTTGCTGAATTAAAGGTGTAATGTAAAATGAACAAACATGACATGGGATATTTTATATCTTTAAACATTTTCATGGAATGTAATTAATGTATCACCATATTAAAGTTGCATGCCTTCAGATGAGAAAAATGATTTCAAGGAAATCAAAATATGAAAAGAAAATTCACGGTCAATTGACTGCTTTGAAGCATAATCACAAAATAAAATTACAGGAAATTAAAAACTTTTTTAATACACTTAAGGTACAATTTCATTGTAAATCATAGTCAAAGATTTGAGATATGATTATTTATTCATATTTACATCATTATTGGTTATATATTGATATAAAAAAAACCCGAAAGACACAGTTTGTAAATATTTATTACAATTAAATATGAAAAAGGTATACGCACTTGATACTGTAAATGGCAGCCATTTTACGATACGAATCCTCGGACAGTTTATCCTGCCGAAAAGATATGAAAAATTACTTGCAATTCAAAGTTTGCTGGCTACATAATATAATAATATTGACGTGTTTTCATTGGTTTAAACCATCACGTTACCAATACACATGTAGGTGTGAACTTATTTCGTGTTCATTAAAATGATTCCGTTAATAGACATATAACAATCTTATTTACAAATGAATTGATAAAACAACAATCCCAGAAGCATTTTAGATAATAACAATCATTGAAAAAAAATAAATGCATATAAATTGTAAATTTGTGTATGACAACTCAACCCCCTAAAGAGAAAAATAGACTCAACCAAAACAAGCGCATGCTTCTTCACCTAACTATGTAGTTGCATGACCATGATTATCAATTTAGCAAACCAAATCTAAGAGATAAACCTATTCAGGGCTGGGAATCAAAACTGCGTCGTATCCTACAAAATGTAAACAAACGCCGCCATCTTGGAACGAAAAACGTATGTTTTTGTTTATAACTCTTTTTGTTGGAAATGACTGAAAACCAGATATATGTATTAACACGCTACACCATTTTCCGCTTCGTTCGGTATATGTTGCTTGCACAACTATTTTGTAAAACAAAAGTTATAGCGAACTTGCAACTCGAAGCGGGGCAGAATTTTTATGAAAATGTGTGGATACGACGCAGTTCATATTGCTTTATCTATTGTTTTTTTCCTTTAAATCAATTATATATTTGTTTCAGAGTTGACCATAAACTTCGAAATATAATTTTGCATCATTTACTAAAATTTCATTAAAAAGATATGTTTATTTTGTAAGAAAATAATGATTTTTACGAAATGATACGACGCAGTTGAAAATAAAATATGATACGACGCAGTTGTATTTTTTACAGTCTTTTCAACAGGGATAATTTTGGCAATATATTTCTATTTTATGGAATAATTACTTGCGCTAGATAAAAAAACACAGATCATTTGCGGTGTAAAGCAATGTTCTGTTGCTTTTGATTATTTAGAATACATTGTGTCATGTCCAATACTAGTATAACATTTCATTTGAAAGTTTACATTGCAGAAGCTACTTTTCAGTTAAACATGAACATGTTACCTAGTTGATCATAATATCTGAAATAAGTTCTTATATTTTCCTGTATGTTCAATATTATCCCGATTTTTTTTTTCGCAAAAACAAATGTAGAAATCTATTGACTTGAATTCATTTTGGCTAGCTAAGCTCTAAGTTAACTGTGGTTCTGCATGATCTGGATAATGACTGTTTTTTGTGGTTTGTTTTCAAACTTTCACTCTACACATTAGCTTTACTAGGGGAGAGGACCTCAGGTGCGATTTTAAGCATTATTTCAGGCAAAATGTTGCACCTGCAGTGAACCATCGACATTTTGAAACTAGCTTGATAGGTTTTCCACACGAAAGAATAAAAACTCCCTGGAGGTTTTCGAATTCATAGCAGTTCAGTTCAAGTGATTTGAATTCAGTAAACATAAACAGCTCGGCCTCGGTGGAACACACCTGTCTGATTTTTTTTTTTTTTTTTTTTTTTTTTTTTTTCAACAAAATTTGTTAACATCAGCTGTACTATTAAGCAGCTTTTTATTAACTTCTGGCGTGAAGTTTTAAGATTATAAATACATTTTTTTTTTGTATTTGAATTCATTATAAAGAGAATAACATTTAAATTTCTTATTTCGGTAAGACTAGCAGAGAAATTTTCATTGTAAACAGGGGGTAATCCTCTGTGAAGTCATTTTCTGAAAACTTTTGTTTAAGTTTTCAGGCAATTCATTATCAAAATAAAAATCACACTTTAGTATGAAGGTCTGTACTAGTCTGTTGAAAATTCGATGCAATAATCTGACCTAACTTTTCTGTTCAATATTGTGAAAACTTCTTCAATACTGTTGAAAGATCATGTCTGCCCATACCTGTATCAAATTTATCGGTGCACAGCGTAAAATACCTTTTCAAAACGGACACCTTCTTTACAAAATAATTTGTAGTTGTATCATATGTAATTTTAAAGTTTTTTAATGGAAAAGAATGATACTAAAGTGCAAATATAGAAAATACATTCCGTAGACCTTTCCTCATCGGCGGTAAAGAAATGCAATACGACAAAATTAGCGGTAAAGTTCCGCGGCGCTGAAAACGGAACACATAACCTACTCGCAAAAATATATTGTAGCTTAACCATTTATAATACAATTTAAAAAAATTAAAGTTCAGTTTCAAATAATAAAGCCCATCTATTCTCACCGATTATTAAGAAAATGAAATCAATAATACAATAAAATCGGCACGTAAAAGACATAAATAATAACGGAATTGACGGAAATTATTGCTAATTACAAATAACAAAGGTAGGCATGCAATTTGCGCATAGCTCTCTCCCGATAGCGAGAGACCTTTTCAATATTTGAAATTCTTTCTCTTTTTCTTTTTTTTAAAGTCATTCCTGATTAATACAGGGTCCTGGAGAGGTTACACTGGAATAAGGAATTTTGTATCAAAAATAGTAATCACTACCATTTCGAACTCACGGGAACAATTTTAGAAGCATGCTAAGGCATCACTGGAACACGTTGTTATATTGGTGTGCGATCATGTGTTTCAATGTATATTGCATTTGATACAACTTTTCGGAATTTGTAGATGCTTATGATAGGAACTACAATGCGACCAAAAAATGCAGCCTTAATAGAATTGTATTACATTTCCATTTTTATGGAACCAATGAGTGACCTCTGCTTTTGACTTAAGTTGTAAACAAGAAATGTTGTTGGACATTATTAGCATACGAGGGTTGTCCAAAAAATTTGTGCACTGCAGTTATTGTCGTGAGAGTTATATATAAAAACAAATAAATTATATATCACTTGAAGGGGAAATATGTCTTAAATAAGAAAACAAAAGGAAAAGCCGAGTACCTAGCACATAATTTAAACTGCCAGTTTTTTTAACGACACTATATATTTATATTGTGACGACCTATGTGTGTAGAGTTTTAAATATGACAAACTAACTTTGTAAGAAGTCAAAACATGTTTTTTTTCATATTACATAGAGACTGTGTAGCAATTGTCAAAATTTTCTGATATCAAATTTGAGCATAGTATATCATTAACCAATATGCAGCCTGCACTGAAAATACAACTGCGTCGTATCATATTTTATTTTCAACTGCGTCGTATCATTTCGTAAAAATCATTATTTTCTTACAAAATAAACATCTCTTTTTAATGAAAGTTTAGTAAATGATGCAAAATTATGTTTTGAAGTTTATGGTGAACTCTGAAAACGAGTATATAATTGATTTGATGAAAAAACGATAGATAAAGCAATATGAACTGCGTCGTATCCACACATTTTCATAAAAATTCTGCCCCGCTTCGAGTTGCAAGTTCGCTATAACTTTTGTTTTACAAAATAGTTGTGCAAGATGCATATACCGAATGAAGCGGAAAATAGTGTAGCGTGTTAATACATATATCTGGTTTTCAGTCATTTCAAACAAAAAGAGTTATATACAAAAACATACATTTTTCGCTCCAAGATGGCGGCGTTTGTTTACATTTTGTAGGATACGACGCAGTTTTGATTCCCAGCCCTGCTATTGTAAAAATAATACTATGACCACAGAAGATTTCGTACAGAAAAAGTTGATATTGTGTTAATATCTCTGGTTGAAAGATCAAATCAACTCAGATAATTGCCAGGATAATGATAAAGATATACTATGCTCATCTTTTGGTAAAATATTTTTTATCTTAGAAATGCATTAAAATCCAAGAAATTCTTTAGTTATTGAATATATTTAATTTGAATAAAATAATGAATAAACTATGTATGGGAAGCTGACTATTCCCTATTACGGGTCAAGTAAAATTGGTCTTTTCTTAAAAAAACTGGCATTTTTTTAATGACACTATATATGCATATGGTGACTACATATAGTGTGTACTGACTTCAAAACATATCATATATCTACCTTAAATGAATTCCAAACATGTTTATTTTATACATACAAAGAGACTGTGTGGCAATCATTAATATTTTTAAAAAAAAATTTGAGCATAGAATATCTTTAATTTGCAAAAAATATTAATCTTAGAATATCTATTTTTTCATGCTTTTTTCTGTCTCATTAAAGTGTATACATACAATTTTTTTATACATATACAGCAAACAAATATTTACATAAAACATGGATAAGACCATTCTATTTAAGAACTTCAAGAGACCTATTTAAAATAAATGAAAATCTTATTCAACACCTATTACATTTAGAATTAAATCAATAGTACAATTACAATGTATATAAACAGACTATTAAAAATTTGGCAACCATCGCTTACCGAACAAAATTGCATTTGAGAAAAACACTATGCCATCACATTAATAAAACACTAAATAGTAGTGTAGGAACAGCTTTTTTTGTATCTTTACAATTGAAGATTGTCATTATGCATAGATCCCTGACCTATCTAGTTAAGTGGTTACATCAATTGTTAATCCAATAAAAGATCAGAGTTCCTGTAGCTAAGTTCTCCCATTCAGAAAACATTTGTTAATTTTCTGTTTTTACTATGTGTATATAATGAGAATCACCACCCCTGGGCAGAGCCAATTTGATACCAGGGGAAAATTTTGAACCTTTGGTAGAGGACTTATAGATGATATTATATAGCAAACATCAAAGCCCTTTGCCTTGTAACTTCAGACAAAAATATTTTTTATTTTTTTTACTATATGTACATAATGAAAATCAATGACCCCCGGGGCGGACCCAATTTTGACCCAAGGCTATAATTTGAACATTATCTTGGTAGAGGTTCACTTCGCAAAATCTCATGTCACATATTTTACCTCTAGCCTTTGGCAATGCAGAGAAGAAGGTTTCAAGTTTTTACTTTATAAATATATGGAAAAAAACTTCAACCTCTGGGGCAGAGCAAATTTTTAACACTAAGGGGCATAATACAAACAACTTAAGTAGAGGACCCAGTAAAGTGATATTATAACCAAATATCAAAGCCTCTTAGCCTTGTACCTTCAGACGAAGAAATTTTTTTTTTTTTTACTATACATACATAGGGAAATAAATGACCACCCTGGAGGGGGCCAATTTTGACCAAAAGGGCTATAGTTTGTACAATCTTACTAGAGGTTCACTTCACAAGTTTCATACAAAACATCTAAACTCTAGCCTTTGTAAATTTAGAGAAAGTGATTTTTTAAGTTTTTACTATATACATATAAGGAAAACCTATGGCCCCCAGGGCGGGGCTGATTTTGACACTTAAGAGGCAAAATTTGAACAACTTTGCTAAAGTGCCTATTGATGATATCATTTAACAAATATTAAAACTCTAAGACTAATGTACCTTGAGACAATAAGATTTTTTGATTTTTTACTGTATGTATATATTGAAAATCAATGACCCCGGGGCGGGGGCAATTCTGACCCCAGGGCTATAACTTGAACAATCTTGCTAGAGGTTCATTACACAATGTTTCATGCACAATATCTAACCTCTAGCATTTGTCAATTGCTAGAGATTTTACTTTTAGTTTTTACTATATAATAATACATAATATGTATTATGAGCCGCGTCATGATAAAACAAACATAATGGGTTTGCAACCAGCATGGATCCATATCAGCCTGCGCATCTGCGCAGTCTGATCAGGATCACTGATATTCGCTTACAACTCTATAACAAGTACAGAAACTGATAGCGAACAGCATCGGTCCTGATCAGACTGCGTGGATGCACAGGCTGGCCTGGATCCATGCTGGTCGCAAACCCATTATGTTGGTTTTGTCATGACGCGGCTCATATAAGGAAAACCAATGACCCCCAAGGCAGGCCGATTTTGACCCCAGGGCTATAAATTGAACAATCTGGGTAGAGATCTCCAGACAATGCCTTATGCAAAACATCTAAGCTCTAGGCATTTTGTGTCTTTACAAGAAGATATTTTAAGTTTTTACTATATGTACATAAAGTGAAAATCAATGACCCCGGGGCAGAGCCGATTTTGACCCCAAGGCTATAATTTGAACAAACTTGGTAGAGGTCTACCAGACAATGCCTTATGCAAAATATCTTAGCTCTAGGCCTTTTGGGTCTTTAAAAGAATATTTTTTAAATTTAATCTTATAATTCCTTTTGGTTGCCATGGCAACCAGATTTCTGCATGTAATGAAATTCTTTGAACAACTTTGGAAGCCCTTCTACCAAGGATCAATCAAGCAGAATTGCTGTGGTGGCATAAAAATAGGAACTGCTGTAAGAAAATGAGAGTCTAACGCCGGTATTCTTTTATATTTGACATTAGGATTTTTCCATAGTATTACAATTTTTGAGTTTCGCGCATGCGCATTCTGCATAGGGTAAGAAGGCTAATATATAATGATGACTACAATTTATCACTTTTAATATATTTCATTCAAGTTATGCTCCCAGAAAACAGTAATTTTGGGATGACTTAAAGCAATTAGAACTTATTATAGACCTCATATATGATTAAGATGTATTTAACTTTTAACATGTAAACACCGCACGTTATGTCCGGGAATAAAGGATTGACAATTTTAAAAGAGTGCTAAAATAATAATTGTAACTGTTTTTTTATTGTACATTAAATAGGAATATTGCTATATCATTGTATTCTTTTTATTTGATTGATCTGGTTGAAAGTCATAGCAATCCAGCTAGGGTGAATTTAATATAAAATAAGAACAAGAGCCGGTTGAACCGGGTGATGCTCCCCGAATAGGTTTTGGACACAGGAAGGTATACCTCTTGTTGTGTCAGAGTTATGTCAAAGACAAAGTTCAAAGTGTAAAAACAACCCAAATATTGTGCACGACACATTGTCTAAATATGGTGATCATTTTTGTGAAATAGTTGTAAAATCCGATTTCAAATAACAAAGTTATGCGCCTGACATTATTTTGCTGCAAGGTCATGCTGTGACCCTGACCTTCAACGTAGTGACCTAAATGTTGCATGCGACACGTCGATTCAATATGGTGATCATCTCTGTGAAATAGTTGTTAAATCCGACTTCCAGTAACAAAGTTATGGCCGGACACGATTTTGCTGCAAGGTCATACCGTGACCTTGACCTTCAAGGTAGCGACCCTAATGTTGCGCGCGACACAATGTCTCATTGTGGTGATCATTTCTGTGAAATAGTTGTAAAATCCGACTTCAAGTAATGAAGTTATGTGCCGGACACAATTTTGCTTCAAGGGTCATGCTGTGACCTTGACCTTCAAGGTAGCGAGCCAAATGTTGCGCATGACACGCCATTTTTAATATGGTCATCATTTCTGTGAAATAGTTTTAAAAAATCTGACTTCAAATAAGGAAGTTATGGGCCGGACAGATTTTGCTGCAAGGTCATGCTGTGACCTTGACCCTTCAAGGTAGCGACTTAAATGTTGTGCAAGACACGTCATCTTAATATGATGATCATTTCTGTGAAATACTTTTTAAATCTAAAACTTCAAATAGGGAAGTTATGGGCCGGACACGATTTTGCTGCAAGGTCATGCTGTGACCTTGACCTTCAAGGAAGCGACCCACATGTTGCACGCGACACATCGTCTCAATATGGTGATCATTTCTGTGGAATATTTTTTAAATCCGACTTCAAATAACAAAAGTTATGGACCGGACACGATTTTGCTGCAAGGTCATGCTGTGACCTTGACCTTCAAGGTAGCGACCCAAATGTTGCGCGCGACATGTCGTCTCAATATGGTGATCATTTCTGTGAAATATTTTTAAAATCCAACTTCAAATAACAAAGTTATAGACCGGACACGATTTTGCTGCAAGGTCATGCTGTGACCTTGACCTTCAAGGTAGCGACATGCTGTGACCTTGACCTTCAAGGAAGCGACCCACATGTTGCACGCGACACATCGTCTCAATATGGTGATCATTTCTGTGGAATATTTTTTAAATCCGACTTCAAATAACAAAGTTATGGACCGGACACGATTTTGCTGCAAGGTCATGCTGTGACCTTGACCTTCAAGGTAGCGACCCAAATGTTGCGCGCGACATGTCGTCTCAATATGGTGATCATTTCTGTGAAATATTTTTAAAATCCAACTTCAAATAACAAAGTTATAGACCGGACACGATTTTGCTGCAAGGTCATGCTGTGACCTTGACCTTCAAGGTAGCAACCCAAATGTTGCGCGCGACACGTCGTCTCAATATGGTGATCATTTTCTGTGAAATATTTTTTTAAAATCTGACTTCAAATAATGAAGTTATGGACCGGACACGATTTTTGCTGCAAGGTCATGTTGTTGACCTTTGACCTTCAAGGTAGCGACTCAAATGTTGCGCGCGACACGTCGTCTCAATATGGTGATCGTTTCTGTGAAATATTTTTTTAAATCCAACTTCAAATAAGGAAGTTATGGACCGGACACGATTTTGCTGCAAGGTCATGCTGTGACCTTGACCTTCAAGGTAGCGACCCAAATGTTGCGCCGCGACACGTCGTCTCAATATGGTGATCATTTCTGTGAAATAATTTTAAAATCCGACTTCAAATAACAAAGTTATGGGCCGGACACGAATTCGGGACGTACGTACGGACTGACGGACGGACGGACAGACGGACGGACGGACAACCCGACGACTATATGCTCCCCCGAAATTTTTCGGGGAGCATAATAATAATATTTGTTAACGGATGGATAAATTAAACTGGATTATATTGATATTCTGACCGAACGGCATACCAAAAAGGCAGGCAGTATTAATAGAACATTATAAACATTTAATAGAAACACAGAATTACAAAGGGAATACCTAATCAATGTATCATTATTTAACAAAACATATATTTATTAAATATCACAAGTAATTACACAACATCAATATGGCTGTCAGACAGGTCTTGAAACAAAATAAAGGTCCTTAAAAGCCCAGGCCACACACAAAAAATTTAATAGTAATTTATGCCCTGATTATGAGCTGACAGTAAGGGGAATATTGTAAAGGGTGGCTTAGCCGATCTGTTGTGTCACAGTGATTACATGTCTATTAAGAGCTGTCGGTAGGACAGCAACCCTTGACTATTCTTCAAGTGCTTGATAGTAAAAAAAAACTTGATAATGTAAAATTTTCTAAGTTAATTAAAGGGCAAAATTTTTCTTTAAAACCATGTTACAGTTATAGGCCTTGAAGAGAGTCCTATTATGCTCTCAAAGATTAGAGAATAAAATTTCAACTTGTTTCAAAGCCAGATGTCAATAGTTGAAAAAGCGGGGGCATTATTCAGGTTAGTGTCATGATGGTGAACAAGTTTGCAAAGTTACAAAGCCATAAGTCTATGGACTTTGAAAATATTTGAGGTATTACAAAAACTTTAACGTAAATTCTAAGTCGAAAAAGGGGCATAATTCTGTCAAAATGCTTGATATAGTTACCTCATCCTGTCTACAGGTTGTGCAACATGGTACATTTTAGCCACCATAGAATTTTCTTATTAAAAAAAAAGGCTAGCTATTTTTAATCGTACAAAAATATAGAAATAGTACAAAGTATAATTAGTAAAGTTTTCACTATAATACATGTATAAATAATGAAACTATCAATAAATGTCTCATCCCTTTTTAGTAAAAAATAATTTTAAAACTCGTAATATATTGTTATTGTAATTTTTGTCGAAAGAATAAAAAATTATGCGTGTGTTTGTTTTGTTTTTTGATTTTTATTTTCAATTGGTGTTAATTTAGAATTTATTTACCTGTTTTCTTTAACTATTTAACTGTATTTGTCACAATTTAGAGGTATTCACTATTAAGCACATACAATGTGGAAGCGACAGGGCAGCTCAATAAGTACAGCCGTGGTACGGTATTCTGAGGGTCACGGGTTCGCAACTCACAGGTTCGAGTCCATGACGGCTGCACTTTTTTCTCACCCTGTGACTGACATACAGCCCAGCTAGAATTTAATTCACATTGCTAAGTAACCCTTGGAAATTCTAAGAAATACACAATAGGTTTATAACTTTTCAGTATTTTAACACAAACAATGTGTAAGCTACTCGGGCTGTGCATTGCCATTTTTTTCTGTCACGATGCATATCACGATACTTGCATTTCCAAACGATGCGATTCACGATATATATTGCATACTTTGATAATGTGCGATGCATATTGCGATTCTTATGTTGCGATGCAATACGTATCACAATACTGACCTTCAGACTTTATCTATATAAAAAACTTGGTCATTTGTTCACAGCATAAATACGAATGTAATATAAAACTATTACAATAACAAAACAATAAACTCTTCGACTTGTTATTATAACTTATTTTCAAGTTTTGATCTTTCAACAATATTACTTATTACTTAAGGATTTTTACTTTATTCTTAAGGATTTTTAATAATACCATAACTATTAGTGTATTGCGATACTTTGCCGCTATATCGATGCATCAGGTGGTGAAATATGTATTGCATCCTGATATATTGGAATTTATAAATTCATTACGATGCATACATCGAAGACAGGGCTGATCGCGATGTATCGATGCATCGATGAATCGTTACACCTCTATAAGCTACCGAATTGCTCAGAGGGAAGAGCCGCGGAATGGTATTCCGAGTGTCGGGGGTTCGAATCCCCACCAGGCGGTTACATATCAATTTAAATCTGTTAAGAACAACAGCCATCAGTGATCACATGTGTCACCTCATCATGGCCAATTTCATGTTGGGACAAGTTTTGTGACAGGCGGACAGCCAGACGGACAGTGCACAATTGACTTGGTACTGATCATTCCTGTAAAGTTTGGATAAAATTGCACCAGCAGTTTATGAGGAATAGTTCGGACAAACTTTTGTAGGCCTATATCTGGCAACACACAGAAAAAAACACCTTCTTATCAAAGAGCCATAACTCGGCCGAAAATCATTTAACCGCAAAACCAGTGCAATATGCCCGGACAAACTTTAAAAATAACAAGAATTTGTAACAGAGTTACCTGAACGTCCCCCGCCTCGGGAAGTTTTATATGAAGCATAAAATTGTGCTATTTCAAAAGATTGAGGTATGGATCTCAGGACATTCAGTCCAAAATTATGATAAATGCTAGATCTGCAAATGCACCAATAAATTTATTAAAAAATAAAATGAAACAGGGAATTTAAAAATCTATCATGTTAAGCTTTGACCTTGGAGGTAGGGGAGGAGGTGTTGTGCATGACATAAAATGTCTTATTATTGAGACTATTTGTGCCAAGTATTTTTAAAAACCCTTGAACTATGATGAAATTATAGATTGGACACAAAATATACCCTATTACAGAATAAGTAAATCTTTGACCTCTAACTGTGACCTTGACCTTTGAGGTAGGGACACAGATGTTACCCATGACATATCATTTAATCATTGTGACTATTTGTGCCAAGTATTTTCAAAATCCCTTAATCTATAAAGAAGTAATGGACGGGACACAAAATATACCAAATAACAGACTCTGTTAACCTTTGACCTTTAAGTGTGACGTTGGAGGTAGGGGTGCAGGTATTGTACTTGAAATATCGTCTTATTATTGTGACTATTTGTGCCAAGTTTTCAAAATCCCTTGAACTATGAAGAAGTTCTAGATCCGACACAAAATATACACTATAACAGACTATGTTAATTTTTGACCTCTAAGTGTGACCTTGACCTTGGAGGTAGGGATGCAGGTGTTGCGCATGACACATCCTCTTTTTATAGTGACTATTTGTGCGAAGTATTTTCAAAATTCTTTGATCTATGAAAAAGTTATGGACTGGACACAAAATATACCCTGTAACAGACTATGTAAGTATTTGACCTCCAAGTGTGACCTTGACCTTGGAGGTAGGTGACTGGTTTTTATGCATGGCACATTGTCTGATTATTGTGAACAATTATGGCAAGTATTTACAAAATCCCTTCATAGATAAGAAAGTTATGGACTGGACACGACATATACCCTCAAATAGCGATGTTGACATTAAATGAGCAAGTGCGACCTTGACCATGGAGGTAGGGGTCTGGTTTTGCGCATGACACATCCTCTTATTATAACAAACATTTGTGCCAAGTTATTTCAAATTCCTTGATAAATGACAAAGTTATGGACCGGACACAAAATATACCCTGTAACAGACTATGTAAATATTTGACCTCCAAGTGTGATCTTGACCTTGGTTTTTGCGCATGACACATCTCCTGATTATTTTGAACAATTATGGCAAGTATTTACAAAATCCCTTCAAGATAAGAAAGGTATAGACTGGACACGAGATATACCCTCAAATAGACAATGTTGACCTTGAATGAGCAAGTGTGACTTTGACCCTGGAGGTAGCTGGCTAGTCGTCGTGACTCACGTACGGCTAGAACTTTTGGCTAGCTGTACGGGCCCGTACGGCCAGCCACTTCCTTGGGAATTACCCTATATGGCTGCTTTTCCTTAAGGCGTGGGTTTTCCTTGAGTCGTGGGTGGGTTAAAATCGTAGATGACTTTTTGTATGGTTAACAAGAACTGTCGGAGGACAGTAAAGCTCGACTATTCGAAAATTTGTCACAAGGGTGTTTCATTGAGTATAATAATGCTTACCTATATGAATACATAAAATTGTCCGAAAAGGTACAAACTCTTCAAGTTTCAATACATTCCCTTCAGTAGTTATGGAGATACAAGCTTACATACAAAAACTTAACCAAGATTTTCTAAGTCGAAAAAGGGGCATAATTATGAAATAAAACAATTCAGAGTTATGGGACTTGTACCAATCACCTTAGATAATCACAGAGACCAAGTGTGTGAAGTTTCAATCCATTCCCTTCAGTAGTTATTGGAGATACCAGCTTACACGCAAAAACTTAACCAAAAATTTCTAAGTCGAAAAAAGGGGCATAATTATGTAAAAAGCAAATCCGAGTTATGGGACTTGTGCCAATCATCTAAGATAATCAGAGGAGAACAAGTGTGTGAAGTTTCAATCCATTACCTTCAGTAGTTATGGAGATACCAGCTTACATGCAAAAACTTAACCAAGAATTTCTAAGTCAAAAAGGGGCATAATTATTGTAAAAAAGCAAATCAGAGTTATGGGACTTGTGCCAATTATCTTAGATAATCACAGAGAACAAGTGTGTGAAGTTTCAATCCATTCCCTTCAGTAGTTATGGAGATACAGCTTACACGCAAAAACTTAACCAAGAATTACTAAGTCGAAAAAAGAGGCATAATTATGTAAAAAAGCAAATCAGAGTTATGGTACTTGTGCCAATTGTCTTAGATAAACACAGAGAACAAGTGTGTGAAGTTTCAATCAATTCCCTTCAGTAGTTATGGAGATAACAGCTTACATACACAAACTTAACTAAGAATTTCTAAGTCGAAAAAGGGGCATAATTATGAAAAAAAGCAAACCAGAGTTATGGGACTTGTGCCAATCATCTTAGATAATCACAGAGAACAAGTGTGTGAAGTTTCAATCCATTCCCTTCAGTAGTTATGGAGATACCAGCTTACATACAAAAACTTAACCAAGAATTTCTAAGTCGAAAAAGGGGGCATAATTATGAAAAAAAGCAAATCAGAGTTATGGGACTTGTGCCAATCATCTTAGAAAATCACAGAGAACAAGTGTGTGAAGTTTCAATCCATTCCCTTCAGTAGTTATGGAGATACCAGCTTACATACAAAAACTTAACCAAGATTTTCTAAGTCGAAAAAGGGCATAATTATGAAATAAAACAATTCAGAGTTATGGACTTGTGCCAATCATCTTAGATAATCACAGAGAACAAGTGTGTGAAGTTTCAATCCATTCCCTTCAGTAGTTATGGAGATACCAGCTTACATACAAAAACTTAACCACAGGGACGCCGACGCCGACGCCGACAAATGGGTGACTGCATTAGCTCGATTATTCTGCGAATAGTCGAGCTAAAAATGTATTTTAATTATATATATATTTCTTATAATTTGTTGTTAAAAAGTTGTAAATACTGTAATAATCGAATAATTTGGCCATTTGTACGATTTGTTTACATTTTTTGACAACAACAACAACAACCTACTGGTTTCCGGTGTTTGGAACAGGTGCGACTTAATTTCGTGCCAAAATTTGGCCCACAGAAAGTCTCACTGAACTATTAATTGAAATATAAACTAACACTTGGTCATCGGCATCATTATATCTATTATCGATCCATTATCCATCTTAAATAAAATTTTGAAATCATTTGTTGTATCTCCGTCTTTTTGCAACTATTTATGTTTGTTTATAAAGCAAAATGAACGGTATAGGATACATTTGAAAACCACATTGCTTTATTAAAATATCATTTGCAATTGTTGCTACAATTTTGTTAATGTATTTATAAAAGATTTTGAAGGCAGAATGAAAGTTGTCCTGATGTTTTATTTTAGTTTCATTACAAACTCTAATAGATCTTATTGAAGACTGTTAAGTACCGAATAAATTAATCAGGGAAGTGGCTAGCCGTACGGCCCGTACGGCTAGCCAAAAGTTCTAGCCGTACGTGAGTCTCGTACGACTAGCCAGGACACACTGTATTGGCTAGCCGTACGGCACTTTTCAAAATTATATGGAAGTCGAAAATGCATATGTTATTTTGTGCCTTTAAACAAGGATTTTAATCAAGTCTCTGCATTCGTCCTAGTGTGTTAACTTTAATAAAGATGTTCCGACATTTTGTAAAAAAAAAAAGAATACGAACAAGCGTTGTATAATTTATTTTGATAAAAGTGTCAAAGTTGTATGTTATAAGTTGTTATATAACGTCCTTGATTTTCATGCTTATGATTTGTTGTTTTATTTGCATGAAAGATGAATTGTTAAATCATTTTTGTTAATTATAATAAGCACATGGATCGAATAAATAATGATCGGAGGGGAATAAATAATTAAACAAATAAAAAGAATACTGAAAAAAACGGTGAAAAGAAAAAATTATTTAATAATTTTCAAATACAGTATAGATAATTTCAAATATCGAACATACAAGCTCAATCAATTAATAAGCCTCAATTAAGACAAACTTTCCTTAATGATGGACAAACTTCTATACCGTCGGTAATTGACGCAATTATCAGAGCCTAGCAACAATTATTTTCGGGTTTTTTTTTTTTTTTTTTTTTTTTTTTTTTTTTTTTTTAAAATTCAACTAAATGAAAGAAAAAAAATATCAACGTTTTGTAAACTATTTCAATTGATGTTATTTAACTGCAACCAAACACTATTT